CTTGCTTCGACGAACATTCAAATGATTCAATTATTATTATTGCTATTATTATTATTACTATTATTTACTACATCATTAATCGCCCTCTTTTATTCCTACTCTGTCTATACTTATTTTTTCGACGCATACAGCAGCCCGTCTGTGGTGGAAATTCGACTGTATCTAAACGTTCTCGAGTCACTGTCCGGTTGAAAATTGCATGTTACCATCGAATATGAGTATTGAAGCAGTTTTTCTGAAACCACGTGCACCATTCAAACTGGCTGCCTTCAACGTTCGCACAATTATGCAGGTTGGACAACAGATAGGGCTTGCTATATCTTTAGAAAGTCTTAATATCGATGTCTGCTGTCTATCCGAGACCCGTATTCAAGACTCTGGCGAAGTACTACAAATTCGCTCTTCATCTGTCGCTTCGAAAAGCTTGTTTTACGTGCGCTTATCCGGGGACGCTGTGGCATCTTTGTCTAGTGTTGCTGGCGTTGGTGTCGCACTAAGCGCTAGAGCTGAGGCAGCACTAATCGATTGGATCCCCACTAACAGTCGATTATGTGCTATTAGATTAGAAAGTTCCATCAAAGTGAGAAGAAATCGGCGTGAGAAACGATGTCTTTTCGTCATCTCCGCCTATGCTCCGACAGATTGCAGCCCGGATGCAATCGAGGATGAGTTTTACCACAAGTTATCTGTTCTTAGCCAGAGAGTGCGTTCGACAGATATTGTAGTACCAGCCGGAAATTGGGCAAAGCTTGCGTAAGGACCGAGAAGCCTGGTGGTCGAAGCCCGCTAATGAGCTGTAAGCAGCAGCTCCATCTGGTAATAACCGGAAGCTCTTCCAGCTCATCCGAGCCACTGGCAGCAAGAAGTCTGGTGTGAGTGAAACAATCTGCGAGGATGATGGGATGCCAATCACTAACATCCATCGACGTCTTGGATGATGGGAAGAATTTTTCGAAGGGCAGTTCAACTGACCTGCTGCTCGGGAAACATCGGTCAGACTGTCCTGCCCTCCATGGCCGGTGACGACTGATCCACTAAACGAGTAGGAAGTTCGCAAGGAACTCCAACTCTTGAGGCGTTCCGAATCACCTGGTCCAGATGACTTACCTCCGGCTCTTTTTAAAGATGGTGGTGACTTTTTGACTAAGGAATTGACGACGTTGTTTACAAAGGTTAGGGAACTAGAGAGTGTGCCAACGTCATGGAATGAGTCGATAGTTGTCCCTATCTTTAAAAAGGGTTCACGTCGTTCCTGTAACAACTATCGGGGGATAAGTCTACTTCCGATTGCGTCCAAGCTACTGGCTCCCGTCATACTTCGTAGGTTCTTCAAAACTCGAGAATGATTGATTCGCGAGGAGCAGGCTGGGTTTCGTTCTGGTCGAGGATGTATTGATTATATATTCACCCTCCGCCAAATGTTGGAACACCGCCATACTCATCAAAGGCCAACAATCGTAGTGTTTTTTGACATCAGGGCTGCCTTCGATTCGTTGGATAGGACCGTTCTCTGGGAATGTCTATTGAAGAAGGGTGTGCCTGAGAAGTTTATTAACATCCTAAAAGCCCTACATACAAACACCTCAGGCAGAATGAGCCATTACAATCACCTCTCTTCATTGTTCTATTCAAGCAGTGGGGTTAGGCAGGGTTGCCCAATCTCACCATTCCTCTTCAACTTTGCCATCGATGACATTCTGGAAGCAGCTCTGATGGATGCAAGTAATAGTGGTGTGGATCTGTTGCCTGGAGAAAGACTTCTCGACCTTGAGTATGCGGACGATATTGTCTTACTGTGCGATAATGCCCAAGCCATGCAATCCGCACTTAATCAGTTGGCAATCAGTGTCCGTAGGTATGGTATGTGCTTTGCACCTTCGAAGTGCAAAGTACTTCTACAAGACTGGCAGGATCGTAATCCTGTACTCACCCTGGATGGTGAGCAGATAGAAGTAGTCGAGAAGTTCGTGTATCTAGGTAGCTGCATAAGTGCTGGTGGTGGTGTGAGTGGTGGAATCAATGCACGTATAATAAAAGCCAGAGCGGCTTATGCCAATCTGGGCCATCTTTGGCACCTTCTTGATGTTAGTCTGGCTGTAAAAGGTCGGATCTACAACGCGTCGGTGAGAGCAGTTTTGCTCTATGCTTGGTAAACCTGGCCTTTCCGAGTTGAGGACGATAGAAGACTCTCTGTGTTCGATCATCGTTGTCTCCGAAGGATTGCTGACATCCAGTGGCAACACCATGTTAGTAATGCAGAGGTTCGGCATCGTGTGTTCGGGAGCAGAGACGATAATGCAATCAATGTCACCATCTTGAAACATCGACTTCGGTGGCTTGGACATGTTTTACGAATGTCGTCCCAGAGAATTCCACGTCGTGCATTATTTGCCGACTCTGAGACTGGTTGGAAAAAGCGGAGGTGGTCAGTGCATGAAAAAAATCTGCAAAGGGCTGGCTTCTGTCAGTCCTTCACGACTCCTTGGCTGGGGTCCGAGAGATGGTGCGGCACAGTGGCTAGAGACTTTATAAGATATGGCTCAGAATAGAAGCCGGTGGCGATCCTGCTGTAACCTTTTTTACTTTCTTCATAAAAAGTGGTTGTGTCTTCCCTAACTGAAAGATTTATTCCCATTGTACCTTTCCGTTCCTCCATTTTTCCCATTATTGTTATTACACCACCTTACATCAATCTGTTCGTTATTATTCTCTTTATTTCCTTCACCTTAAATTCTCATTGTTTTGTGTGGCGCATATATATTTGGCGCATTTTTGTACCAATATTTATGTATTCAAATAAATAATCTTTTGAACGAATCTGTACGTGGTGTATCCAGAAAGGAGAGAATAAAATTCATTTGTTGTGATTGGTAATTTTCTCGCATGCTTTATCAACTTCCTTACTTATTTGATTAATTGAACAATTATTGGTTGGATAGCTGGGTGGTTATATTTGTTTGGTTAGTAATATACATCTATATTTCTAATTATTTTTAGAACCGTCATTTACCTAATCACATTATTTTGCTTTCAACTAGGCAATAGTACCTATCTAAACTACCTAGACAGTTATTCTTCGGTCCAAACCTTAGTTTGGATTCTACACAGAGTATCACTAGAAAAAATGATAACATTGTGGCTCATTTCCTTACATTTTTATCACAATAGATGCCTATAATTTACTAAAAAAATTAAGCATTTACAGGCAAATCTATCTCACTTTTCTATGGAACTTTTAAAGAACTAATACTAGATCTTGTCACAGGAGAAAATTTTGAATGTCGTGAAAGAGAAAAATTTCATAAAATATTCGTTCGAAGAACAAGAAGGTTAAGAGTTTATTCTCATCTTGCAGAATCAACTCTCCAAACGTAATTTTGGTGACCACGTTCTTACACAGTTGCTTAATAGATTGATTTCGGGGATTTACATACCAAATCTAAAAAATAGCTTATACAAATACCGAAGTGTTCCTTCCAAGTGGCTAGCACTGCGTCTACTCGCTATGGGGCAATGCATGAAAATGGATGCTGACAAGATAATTTCTCAATATCGAGGACCTCGAGATATTTGGGTCTCAACCCTTCGCAAGTCTAGAAGATCGTACGACGAAAAACTTGTTAAAGACACTATGGAACACCCTAAACGCTTATATTCGTAACTAAACCAAAGGACCAAGAAAAGGTGATATATCCAAGCATTATGGGAAGAATGTAATTCTACATTATTAGTGGAGAACGATTATGGTAAACCTCGAGTGTTCTCAACTTACTTTAGTAATTTGTATACCGTAAAGATGCTCTCCCTCTCAGTCCATACAAACCCTAAACTCACACTCTGAACATTGTGATCATTATAGAAATTTCTTCTCAATTAGTTTTTCATCATGGCTCTACACTAATATATATACAAAGAGGATTAATCATAATCAAAGTAATTATTCGAAAACCAAGAAGTTGCTACGTTGCATAATATATGAAAAAGAGAAGGAACAGAATATTTTAATGGATGGTCAATAGAATAATATTTATGTAAGAATCAAGAGATTAATGTTGAGTTTACAAAGTTCAAAAACATAACTAAATGGAAGAAGTACGAGAAATAGTTCTCCTGCAAGCATTCTTATACCGATGGCCAAGGTAGAGAAAGTGGTTGAACAAACTTCTTTATCATGCAAAGGTTAGATTTGTGAACATGGATTGCGATGGTTTCCGCAATGTGCAAAAGGCACATTCGTAAACTATGTGGTAAATTTGATGGGATATGGTAGATAACTTTAAAAGCTTTATTCAGTTCAACTTGATGACCTGTGTCAACCAAGTGAGCGAGAATAGAACTTTTAATCACTTTTACCTGTTCTTTGCTTAACCACGACGGATGGTGCTCTGTTATACGATGACGAGCTTGCCAAATTGTACGCCATATATAACTGGCTCCACAGGAGCAGTTGAATCGATAAATACACATAGATTTGGCGAATTCAGGCAATCTGTCTTTATTGGTCGTTCTTATTGTGAGGTGGTTGTATAAGATAGCATTTAGTCTGGCTGCATTAAATGCTTTTTGTACAGCTTTTCTTAATCTCTGAGTCACAATTTCTTCAGTAGTGTCATTTACGAATTGATGTTCGAGGTTTATGTCGAGGTATGAGCGGAGAGAGCGAACAGAGTAAGCGATCAGTTGGGCCTAGTGAGCGGAAACGTTTGGCACTCGATACTACGTGTCGGACTACTTTTGTCCACACCCCTCCTATAGGGTCAAGTCTTCGAGAAAGATACGCGAGAACTTCCCCTACCTATCAGATCTCCACAATTTAGGGTCCCCCTAATGGATTAGAATCACAGGGCAGCTTCTTGGTGTGCATCAAACATCATAAACGTTTTCTAACCTTAAGGACTTCAGTACGAAGCTCTCCACACTCATACTCTATTCGAAATCGCTGAGGGATAACGATACAAACCAGTCTTCAAACATTAACTAAGATAGCATATGGAAAACAATTTCTTAGAAGATTGCATCTTTAATTGTGTTACCACTTTTTTTTATCTAGTGGGCCTGTACAATTTGGGATAAAAAGTATCAAAACAGAAACTGGGAAAAAGTATTAAAATTGTTATTCATGTACAAAGAGAAAGTTCTTTGAACATTAGTGAACAGGAGAGACATAAGTCTTTGTCAATAATTCCAGTAACTGTTTTTTTATTAAAAGAATCAGGGTTAGATAAAGACGAAGAATGTATCATGGATTTTGTAGCCAACTTGTCAGGATCATTAGAAGAGTCAGTATTGGATACAGGAAACTAAAATAGAGAAGAAAAACATAAATCCTTAACAAATACATAAATGATTAACAAGTTACAGCAAATAAACAACAAATACACACTAGGACGAAACGGCCGTCCAGTGCTTTCAGGTGTTCCATGGTGATCTAGCTTCAATTGACTCATGATCTCAACTGTTGAAATACAAAATAATATATTTAATACAGTACAACAGGGTTTTAGGTGAACTAACACAAACTTGACCTAATGCTACCAACCATTTTTAAGTCACTTAAAGCATTCACTTTAAGTAGTTCAGTGAGCAAAGTAATAACACAGTGTAGGATAAGAATGCCAAATTAGTTGTCGGATATTTGATCAACAAATTACATACCCCTTCAATCAGTGATCTCAAATAAGATTTAAAAAACACAAAAATCACATAAGTTTACGGATGACATTCTTATTGACGTCGATTCATACAATTTATAACACCGGTTCCTTCTTTGTATCCGTACGGTTTCTTATATAGTTTATGCTCAATGACAAGTAATTTACAATTATATGCTAAAACTGAAAGCACATGAAATACTCACCACTCAACTGAAATACTCAATATATGATTTTACTAGTCTTACATAGATAAAAGTAGACAGCAATGAGCTACATAATCAATATGAAAATTGATGACGATACCACAATGATACATGTGTGTGGGAGGGGTATGCTACTGATGTCGACAAACATAAGTAGTATGTAACACCAATCTGAAATGGAATGACTATTAAAGAAGATTGAACTGAAGAAAACGGAAGGGAAATTGAGGATTAAAAGAATCATGGACGATGTACAGGATAATTGATAGGAGACTTGTAAATAAAGTATTTAATGTATGGTTTCTACATTTTGTATTCAATGATAAATTGGTTCCCTCCTTCTGGGTTCTCCTTCACCATACATTTACATAAGAAATAGATTTTAACAGCAAGTAGCTAATTAGTTCAAGTTACTAAGGAGGCACCATTTATTTATTTATTTATTTTAACACATAGATATTGGTACAAGTAGGCACCAAATACACATGCACCACACAAATCTCATTCGATATGTGTGAGGGCTGTAATACTGCCTGGGTGCCCAAACCGAAGCATGTGGTTTTATTAGGGGGTTACACCCGGAGCCTTCGACTTGAAGGTCTGATCCACAAGGTAGTGGAGCAACGTCAGGAGATGCATTCCTATGGTAGACGGTGACCAACAACTGGTTCATACGCCATTTGTTCCCTCAAAATCCTGGAGCCCATGTGCACCATTGGTTTGGAATCAGGATTTTCCAACTCCCCTAAGTGGACTCTCTATGTCCACCAACCCGGTTAAAGCGCCGAACATTCGCTTTTCCTCCTCTCAGTTTCGTAAACAACAGTAATGTTGCGAGAAGCAGTGAGTAGGACTTCCCTGACAGATGCTATATACGCGTGGCCATGTGAGAGCATTTGGAGAGGGAGAGACGACTTTCCCCACTCTCGACCGTACCAGGGCATTTGGGGTTTCACCCCCCCTGCCGAATTGTCAAGCGTCTAGGCGCAATGACCTCTATTGTTCTGTCATCACCAGCTGTTTCGTCGGCTCTGATTCATCAGTCCATTGAATCCACCTTTGGAGCTGGCTAGTGTTCAAGCACTTCTCTGTTACCTTTCCTGATGGTATGTGCAATAGAAACAAAGACGAGAAATGGAATGTATTGGGCTTATATTATAGAACTACTTCACTTAATAGTGAGTTCTTATAATAATCTTCGGTAGTTCGCTGATTATTTTTATGTTGCTGCTAATTTCCTATCAACTGTCAAAGATTTTATCTAGGTTTTTGAGAAATACATTCCGAACGATAATCTCACTATATATATTTACTTATTTTAGGGATAACGTCAAAACCATACTTCCCTATCTTTTTAGATTTTCTATTACTATTATGTGCTGATTGACTTAATTAACTTCATTTCACTTTGATGTTAAATGAACCGTATTGTTGGAAATGTATGACGGAAAATCATATCTACGTAGCACGGTATAAGTTGACTAAATCCGGAGGTCAAGATTTTATTAGCTACGAACTACTTCACTGTCAAAGTATGAATTGACATAAACCGGTTTGAAGAAAACATTTTTTTATCACAGAAGATATGAACTGAATCTTAAACATTAAGAGATGGTCATTTAACGCGTTTGGAAGAAACCATGACCCGATCAACCGAAGGATCATCATTAATAACTGTTTAGAAATTGTTGATTAATTTTATACTAAAACGTCTGTTTTACTTGAATGATCAACATAATAATAAAAGACTTAATTCATATATTCAAACTACTTTTTGATGAACAGAAGAATACACTAATTACGCATTCATAATTTAGAAATGATTATGGATAATGTAGTCATTGATAAAACAGATACTATGTCATGCTTCTTCCAAATAAATTCACAGAAGTAATTCATCAACCTTAATAAAATCTTACCAAATTATATCCTTTTATAACAATACTAGTATGATGAATGCTATTCACAAAATCGCTTATGAGAAGTAGTTAGCGGAACGTGGCGTAGAAGTTACTACAGCACATAACCGAAGAGAAAAGTTCTAAGAAGTCAAGAGCACGGTGTATGCAGAATAATTTGGAGACCAGAAAAGAAGCAACGAAAAACTATTTAGAACCAACTTCGACTGCAGAACCCTCAACAGGAGACAAATAGAAGACTGGTGACTAGTGTAGGAGCAAGCCACTGACAGAAAGGATGTTTGATTGGCGAAATTACAGAATATTTATGCAATATGTACACCTAGTCTTTAGTCATCCATTTGCATCTTGTGTGTTCTGCAATCTAATTTGGTTCTAGACTGTCTTTTCTCTCAATCTTGTCAGTAACATTCAACACATTCACATACCCCTGTCGAATTATCGAGCCTCCAGGCGTACTGACCTCTGTTGTCCTGTCATCACCAGCTGTTTCATCGGCTCTGATTCATCAGTCCATTGAATCCACATTTGGAGCTGGCTAGTGTTCAAGCACTTCTGTGTCACCTTTCTTGATGGTATGTGGAAACAAAGAACAGACGTAAAGAGATCCGAACAGCATGAAAGGAAGCAGTTCTTTTCAATAGGAGATCGAGTGAAATGTAGAGAATGAGAAGGGATAAGAGAAGGAGGACGTAGTTTACGAAAATCGCTGCCAAAGTGAGGGGGACCATATGTGTACAACACGAGGTGCCATCGGTTTACTCCTACACTAGGGGCTTTTTTTACAAAGTTAATAAAGGTTTCTCGAGATTATTTTAACTGACAAGTTATGTAGAGATTGGTTTGATTTTTTACGTTGTATTAGTTATAAATCGACCTCATGGAAATTGCCCCCAAATACCCTGGCATGACCGAGAGTGGGGTGGGCCCGCCCTCCCCCTCGAAATGCTCTTACACGGCCACGCGTATACAGCCTCTGCCAGGAAAGTCCTACTCACTGTCTTCTCGTGGTAGGGGTGTTGTTTACAAAAATGAGAGGACGAAAAGCGAATGTCCGGCGCTTTGACCGGATCCCAAACCAATGGTGTACATGGGCTCCAATATCCTGAAGGAACAAATGGCGTATGAACCAATCGTTGGTCACCGGCTACCATGCGACTGCATCTCCTCACGATCGTCCACTGCCTTGTGGATCAGATCTTTAGGTCAAAGGCTCGGGATGTGGCCCTTTAAGAAAACCACCTGCTTCGGTCTGGGCACCCGGGCAGTATCACAGCCCACACACATACAAATATGGTGTGACGCATATATATTTGGTGCCTTCTTGTACCAATATTTATATGTTGAAATAAAATAAAATAAAATAAAAACCATGGAAATTATATTGTGATGAATGAAACTGACAGATTTAAGAATACTTCAATGTTTTCAGGAATAAAAAAATTTCATTTCAAGATTGAGAAGTGTATGAATTATATGAATCATATATGGTCACTGACTTATAGAACACTAAGAATTTCTAATATAACATGAAAAATATTGACAACCTACATGACAGAAACTACATGTAATTTGAGAGTCATTTTCCAGAACAATTTTCGAAGATGTTCTATATGGGGAAAAAAAGACATTAGGATTAAAACAAATGAGTAAATTTTGAAAAGACATGCTATTTATCTATTTGATGACAAAAATTGATATATTTCGAAGATAGGGTTATTGACTTACTTACTCCCAGTGGAGCGAGCATAGGCCGCCAACCAGCATTCTCTAACACACTATGTCCTGCGCCTTCCTTTTTAGTTCTATCCCCAATCGTTATTCATTTTTCTCATGTCTGTCTCCATTTCTCGGTGTAATGTGTTCTTTGGTTTTCCTTTTGCCTTGAGAATTCCAAGTGAGGGCTTGCCTTGTGACGCAGTTGGGTGCTTTCCTCAATGTATGTCCTATCCACTTCCAGTGCTTCTTCCTGATTTCTTCCTCCGCTGGAATCTAGTTTTTTCTCTTCCACAGCTGTTAATAAAAACTTGTATCTTCTGGATGATGGCTTTCGTAGTTCTCCAAGTTTCCACCCCATACAGTAGAACTGTCTTGACGTTTGTATTGAAAACTCCGCTTGCAGCCCCTTCAGGGCTACTGCCGGTCCCAAGTTTGGATAAAGGAGGAGGGTTGGACATGGGGTTAGCGACCTTATCCCGTAGAAAACCAACTAGCTAAAAAAACGCTAGCCAGAATTACAACTACATAAATAGATGTAGTTTGATTAAACTGGAATCATTTAGTTGCCTAAATCATGAATAATATAAACTTAAACGCTAGTAATTTATTGATTAGAATTTAAAAATGTAAAAAGTTGAACATGATAGATTACAGCTGTTTAGTGTAAATCTGGTTACCATTTGTGTGACTAATTCGTTCCACTGAATCAAACAGTAATCGTATTGTACAGAGTACTAGATTCTAGATACTAAAATCGATCACAATGGCATCGGTGTATACACTGTTTGTCTTCTCTTAAACTATGAGATTAAAATCTTTCTTTCCATCAACTAATTCTTTCTCACTATACTATGTCCTTATATACAATCTTCCTTTTATATATTACCACCACTGAATTGACTACTTCTATGAATTTGGTGTTCATCTTGTTGTACTGAGGTATGGCAACTTGGACAGATGCACGCACATATGTGCTTGATCCTACATGGTGGTTGACTGACTGACAAGATTTTTGGGATATGACTTTTAACATACCAGTTAATGAACGTTATTTCACTAAATTATTTTAATAACTCAATCTGATATTGTATAGTATATGAAACAACAGAGACATAATAAATTTCCTTTGTACCATAAAGCTAATTACTTTATTTGCTCTTTTAAATTTACTTTGGAAACTTGAAATGTAAAATCATACGAACATAACTCGATAAAATTTGATTGACCATAAAGTCTACAGATAATACATAACATTAGTTACTACTTGGTGATTAATCACATCCCTGTACAGTATAACAATATAAAACACAAGTGGATAAAGTGAACTAACCTAAGAATAGTTCCAGTAGTCGATGGGAATCCACCAGTTTGCAATGTAGCTAAGAAATCTTGAGTTAATCTTTCCAATGTATTGACATTAGGATTTTTAAGAACAATTGATGTTAATGGATCATTGGGTGTAACAAATTCCAAATGCATAAAATGAGCGTATAAAGCTATTTCTTTCGCCAGAAAATCACGTAATGGTCTAACAATTGTTATATCTTGGTATCGTTCATCTAAGAATGACTATAATAAATTAAAGAAAACGTTTTATTGATCATTTGATTAAAAGTGACAAAGAACTAATGCAAACTTGCGTCAGATCACAAGCCAATAATGATCTATTGAACACTTATAACAGTGAAGTTAAATTTCACCCCATCACAGTTGCTAGGACGCGAGTTTAAAGTTCACAGTTTAGCAAGTTATCGATTTGGCTTGTAAACTATGATACCTCGCTTCGATTTACCGCTTGTTTTCATTGAGGAGCAATTTAAATTGTTGATTTAAGGGAATAAAAAGTGGGAAACGCGATATTACACAAACTACATGAAAAGATAAGATATAGACATTTATCAATCGGTTTATTTACTTTAGTCAACCCAAAGAGTTGCAACGGTAGACTAGCTTGAAAACGCTGTAGAGATATGTGCACAATAATCAGGTACGATTGTGATATTAAGGTAATGGGTGATGAATTTAAAATTTAAATCTCAGTACGAATACCGCGACTAACTGATATCTATACATGCCTAACTTCAGGGAATCAGAAAAGACGACACATCCCTCCCATATCTTAACAAAACATAAAGTTAAAACAAAAAATGAGCATCAGTTATTTATCAGTAGTTTCCAAAATATTCGGTGTGGGAGATGAAACAAGAAATAACGAACGATACTACAATAAAACAACATATCACAAACTGTGAGTCGGGACTTAGTGTTCAATTTTGAATACATCGTAATAACAACACCTTGAAAGTTACATTATTTGACACCGAGAAATGGTGATGTTCTAATAAAGCGACCCGATAAGACTGTGGGTATCGCATTACTAAATCTGTATGACCATAAAATTTTCATGAATATATCTGTACTAACTTGAGTACACACTTAAACCATATGATTTGTTCAGCCAAGGAATCCTTTTGACGAGCTTATTTTCGAAACTGTACAGCCGTATGTATATATAATCTAAACGTAATACTGCAGACGATATTACCTGGCTAAAGTGCTACGAAAAACATTATATAGCCTCACTATGAATATCCTACACTAGCCATATATTATTACGCAACTTCATACACAAGTCACCTCGATAGACAAATCAGATACGGATACATTTATTTATCTACTTCTATGAAACTAAGTTCATCGGCCATCTATCGTCTACTGACGCATTCGAGAGCAACTCCCAGGGTGGAACAGTAAAGGACGAAATTCCATCATAAGTAACATCCCCTATTTTACAACAGCTGGTTGACTATGATCATAAGGTTTTGTGACCAACATTCAAGATTATTTACGAGGTCGAACCGAATTCACCAAGAGGTTTACTCATATTTTTGTACTAAAAGAGCATTAGAGATATAACATGAGACTAAAAATATGTGTACAAAAATAGTTTGTAAGGTCGTTAGTGTCAGTTTGTAGCTGTATCTTGGTGGAGTTTTGTTTTGTTGTAGCTGTATCTTCAAGCATTAATCATCTCTTGCATGTCCTGTTGTCATTTGGGATCAGTTTAATGATTTAGGCTATATATATTAATTTATTTTACTCGTTATTAAGAACTACACCATAAATACTACTTACTAGAAACATGCACATACTAACAACTAATATCTATCTACGAAATGATATTTATAAAAATATACTGTTATACAGCTTTTGAAAATAAAATTGTCGAAGACGAAATTTTTGTTGAAAGAAACCAATAAACCAATTCAGTTTGAAGAAAGAGACCATTGAATTTGTATCTATTGGATCAACACAAGTCACTGGAGTTAATTGGTACATTTCCCAATTAACCAGACAATTCCACTACCTTAAAACTTAGTAGAATGTTCAGTTTGGGGTTGTGGAGATTGTTGAATTCCATTGAAATTATCAATCGATCAATGTTAGACCAATATTCAAAACCTCGAGGCACTAGACGGCCGTTTCGTCCTAGTATGCGACTTCTCAGAAGTACGCATCTATGATCGCGGGTGTTAGCGGGACATAGACTGGATTAAAGCATGCTCAATGCACGATTGCTTTAGTGCACACTGATTGGCTAATTCTTACCCAATCAGCACTAGTCGATACTTGGAGAATACTCTAGAATCTTCTCATGTAAAAACTATAAATATACTAACGTCTTTCCTATTGTGCTTCTTACTTCCATCTAACCTTGTTATTTGGAATATAATCTCTTTCCTGTCCAACCGTGTTCTGATTTGGGGACTTGTCGAGTGAATCGGTGTCCGAGAATACTAAGCAATAGGAATAGCTGGGTCATAACCGTAAGAAAGAGATTATAACAGCGGGATTGTGATTTTCAATGGTAGTCTAACACTGATCGGTTCATGATTTCAATAGAATGTAATAGAACTATATTTTATTTTATTTAAACACATAAACATTGGTACAAGGGGGCACCAAATAGATATGCACCACATAAATCATTTGATTTGCTTGAGGGTTGAGATACTGTCCAGGTGCCCTAACCGAGACAGATAGTTTCCTTAGAAGGGGCCACACTCAGAACCTTTGACTTAAAGGTCTGATCCACAAGGCAATGGAGCAACGTCATGAGATGCAATCCCATGGTAGCAGGTGACCAACAATAGATCTATACGCCATCTGTCCCTTCAGGATCCTGGAGTCCATGTGCACTATTGGTTTGAAATCAGTTTTCCAACTCTCTTAGATAGATCCTGCATATCCATCAACCTGGTTAAAGTGCTGGACATTCACTTTTTGTCCTCTTAATTTCGTAAACAATAGTAATACCGCAAGAAAGCAGTGAGTAAGACTTCCTTGGCAGTGATTGTACACACTTGGCCAAGTGAGGGGCATTTGGAGAGGAAGAGCTGATTCTCTCCCCACTCTTGTCCGTACTAGGGCATTTGAGGGCAAAATGATAATGTACACTAAACAAACAATTGTCATTTAATGAACTTATTAATTAAAAAGGTAACAGTAGGAAAAACGTTATTATTATTATTATTATTATACTATAATCGCTTACTGTTTGTATACTGCTATGATTTCCACGACCTTCTATAATTTCTAATAAATATTTCACTGTAACTCTATTACTACATTCACCTAAAACGAGATATTTACAATCAAGTTTTCTTGCACAATCAATTAATAAATTTAATCGATAATAATCATGAAATCGTTGTTGACTAGTAAGTAATGAAGATGTCAATTTACTTTCCCATTTATTCATTTCTGAAACCTTTACAATCAATCAATCAATTCATAAAGAAAAGAGAGAAGAAATGAATTCAAAGAAAGAATATCAATTTACTTCATTCATAGAAATATTATGATATTCATAATGACTATTCTTCATGTTATTTGTAATTAATTTCAAATGATCTTCTGAATCATATGGTTCTTTCAATGAAAGCGTAAAAGATAATATACAACTTATTCACATACCAATTAGATGAAATACTTTTGGGATCATCCTTCTAGTTCGTTTCTTTATTCCATTATCGTTATGATTATGATACTGAAAGATTACATTATCTATATTATTATAAAAAGGTAATCATTACTTGTATGATTAAGTTTAATAAAGTAGATGAATTTTGACCACCAGAATATGCTATAGCCATATTATTACTACTACTATTATTCATTTGAGTAGTTGTTAGTTTATATTTTCCAAATATCATATTGATTTTATGTAAACAATGATGAATAAAACATGATCTAATTCATGAAGATAAAAGTTTAAATTACTTGCATAAAGATGGATCATCTTTTCTTATTAATACAGATGATTGTGATTGACATTTAATACAATAGGATAGTCTATTTGAATAAAAGTTCAATTCGATTAATTACCTTTCATTCTTTTTAATGATTGAATTGAATACACAAGAACAATCTTCGTCTTCTTCTTGACTACACATTAGATGATGATTATGATGATTGTCTAGATGGACAAGAAGTAACTACTACAATTGAATTTTACAAAGGATTGATATCTGAAAATGTAAAGTTTCAAATAGTAGATATAGAATATATACACATAATATTAGTACAATCTCCACAAAAACCCATTTGATATTAATCAACATATGCTCACTAGTGACTGGCTTCACGAGGTATATCCTGGAGTTCTAGTGAGAAGTAGTGAGCAGTGGAGTTCAACCAGGTCTGTTGTGAGATAGTAACTCACTGAAGACAATGGTGAATGTGTCGCTCAATTTCGTGGATTAGTTGAAGTTAGACATTAACACCGTTGGATGCCGGCTCAGTGGTCTAATGGTTGAGTGCTCGAGCGCGAAACCAGTAGGTCCTGGGCTCGAATCTCGCAGGGGGCAAGATCGTGGATGCGCACTGCTGAGGAGTCCCACAATAGGACGAGACGGCCGTCCAGTGCTTCCAGGTTTTCCATGATGGTCTAGCTTCAACTGACTCATGATTTTAACCATTGAAATTACATAACATATTTATTTGAATACATAAATATTAGTACAAGAGGGCACCACATAGATATGCCCTGCTTCGGTTTGGGCACCCGGGCAGTATCACAGCCCTCACACAAATCAAATGAGATTTGTGTGGCGCATATGTATTTGGTGCCTCCTTGTACCAATATCTATATGTTAAAATAAAAAAATAGATATGCGCCACACGAAACAATGAGAATTCGAAGAGAAAAGAAAAAGAAGAACGATAACGACCACAGATTAGTGTAAGGTAGTGTAATAATAATAATAATAATAATAATAATAATAATAATAATAATAATAATAATAATAATGGGGGAAACGGAAAGGTACAATCGGAAGAAATCTATCAGTGAAGGAAGAAACAATCATTCTTTTTTTAATGAAGTAAAAGGTTATAGCAGGATTGCCACTGGCTTCTATTCTGAGCCATATCTGATAACGTCTCTAGTCATTGTGTTGTACCATCTCTTTAGGACCCCAGCCAGGGAGTCGTAAAGGACAAACAGAAGCCATCCCTTTGTAGCTTTCTTTCATACCACTACACCATGTCATACACTGACCACCTCTCCGCCTTTTACAACCAGTCCAAGAGTTGGCAAATAATGCACGACGTGGAATTCTCTGGGATGAACAAATTTGATGAAATGTCGATATTTATGGAAAATACTTGTCTTGCTTCGATCAACACATGATATAAGGTACAATTCATTAGGAAAAAAAAAACTTTTATAGGTGCCAGGAGTATAGAATTGTTAAGAATGGAATTATGGTAGTAAGACTACAAAATAAACTATCTACCACTGATAATGATAATGTACAAATATACGCTGATCCGTAAGATGATGGTACATCAATACTAAGATAAAGAGTCAAAGTAATAGTAGTATCAATAATTTTATTTAATATTCGACATGGAGAGTATTGTTCAATGGAAATAAATGACGAGATATCTGAGAAGAAATATTAGAGCTCAATATCTAGCAAAAGATAAAAAACAAATACTTTCGAGCTGACTTCGGGTTACAAGTAGTGGCCACAATTATCACACAGACCCCAACCAGTTAGTCTGCATTGATGTGTAGACATAAGAGTGGCTGTTTGATGCACTTGCCTTTGATTTGTTGAACAACCTTTTGATGATGGATTATAATCCAGAGGGTTATGTCTAGACTTACTGATATACCAGATGTCCTAATTAAACATGTCTTCATTGTTCTAAACCTTCAGTCAAATTAGACAAGATTGTTCAATGTAGGCACAATCATCAATAGTTTTCTAGAAACGGCTGAGCACGAATTGGATGGTGATAGTATAGGTTAAGTACCGTATAAAGGCTACGCGACTCACAGCACGTAATTATCTTTTTATTATGCGATGAAATATAGGCTCTCCACGTCGCAGTTGGAAGGTAAAAGATTGGCCTCCGCAATTACGGCATTTTCTTTGCATCATCTTTTACAAAACTACCAAGAATCTATACTTAAATTCGCTCTGCGATGAGGTTTATGACCATAATTTGCGATTATCATTGGGACTCCAGACAAAAAGCATAAACTTAACAAGACTTAGTCGCATAGTGAGTTATATTAAGGGTTAAATGGGTTTTCATTTACCCATTCTATCCATTTTTCAACCTAATCCCATGCTAATTACCGTCACCGCCAGAAGTATCTGAAGTATGTTATGTATGATACCATCATCTTAAGTAGGTAGCTAGCTTAGCTGATTTATTGCACAGCCTGGCCTAATGAAGTTTATGGACACGAAATCTATCTGTTGTAGAGATGACCCATGATTAATTTTCAGATCATACATTAAGGACGATGGATACGTCTTCAATATGTACGCATTCGGCTTTCTGAGTAAGACTGCTTTTATTGTTTCTACAAAACCTCGTAGAGATAAGCGTTCAAACTAAATGCCCCATACAAACCCTTAGTCAATATTATAATAAGTTTAGCAGCTAAAGGAAATAATTCACTTAGCCCCAAATTATTCAGTTTCCGAATATTTATCGATAACTTGAATGAGGCATTGATGTTAGCTTATCGTCTAACAGTAGAAGACTTTTAGTGGCATGTTGGTATGAATCAATGACTTAGATGAATTTTATATTTTCCTATAAATCTTTGATATACAGTTAATGTCTATACATTTTTCCCATTTATTCATTTCACTTTTAGGTTTTACCATCTTTGTACTTTTAACGATATATTGCTTGTCCACTGCTGGATTAGGAGGCATTTTAACTACTTAATAGCTTTTACGACATTGTTTGTCAAAAACGACATGATTTAGAAGTAAAATAGGGCGAAATGGTTGCTTTTTAAATGGTGATTTTATGTGAAAGGTAATATCACAAAGATTTTTCCTTCTTTTCTTTATTCCAAATAAACTCCCAATCAAATCACTTAATTGTTGAATCATTTAATAACAGTCGCTCCTAGATCATATAGACTGTTTAAAAACGCTGTGGATTTTATTCATGGTGTTCTTAGATTGTTGTTTAGAGACGTTTTACCGACTCTTAAGGATAGTTTGCATCAATATCATAAGAGCCATATGAAATAACTTTAAGAAGCATTTCTGACCTATTTAATGATCCACGTATAAACTAATATTCCTACGAATGTATCTAGGGCAAAATTAGTCTGCTTCAGGACAATAATACTCAACGGCTTTCTAAGTGCCTTCCGACAAGCAACTTCATCCTACTCGTTAAAGCTGTCACGTTTGGAATGTTCCTTTGAAATGTATTAGCGTCCTCGAGATGGAGCTCTAATTCGGGTTGATTTGCGCTGCAACTGTACACGGAGTACTTAAGACTTTTTATTTGTGATACTATTTGACGTTGAAACGCTTTGTCGTGCGTTTTGATTTGTTTGTAGAGGTCACTTTCAGGTTAGTGGATTCCCTATTTTTAGCAGGTGACGATTTCGCAACTATGATGTCAGGCTTCAAAGCTAGATCGACAATGACAACTACATGATCTATTGTACACGATAGACCAGAGTCTTTTGGATCACTCACGTCGTCAAAAAGCGCGAGTACAATTTTCAGCACCTTGATTGCATTTTTACAGATGGATTTTCATGAGCAACATACTTTGCACAAACACCGTGAAACCGATCTGCAACACAATTTATTTGTGGAAGGAGTTAGTCCAATCAGTGTTTTGTGGTACCATAAATTGCAGCCGTCACAATGTATTACATTCTTTACCTGGAAGCAACAGGTTGGTCAACCACAACTACCATTTGTTCTCACCATTTATATGAAGAGACTTCCTAGAAACGTATACACAAACAAAAAGGACACTAGGAGACACACCCTTTGTAAGGCGAAAGAAGAACAAGTACATAGACGTATGGGAAGTCTTGTGACTTGATTGGCACACTCACTGATCAGGTTAAGTCCGTTCGGAATATATCGCCACTGTTCAATGTCATGAGGCAGCTGAACTTCTGCAAACTAAGCTATTAGTTCAAAGACCTCGTGAACTATAGTTAAAAATTTTGAGTTGCCTGTATACGAGTCAGGATACTTCTTGAGTGACTCCCCAACTGACCACATACTGCTTGGTTTTATTCTAATGATCGATTTTTTTAATCATGAGGCGGTCTGGATCAACGTCCTGCGATCTGCTTTGGATTTACATGTGTATGTCGACCATGACTGTGCGCATGGGCTTAGGGTTGAGTAACACCTTCAAGGACGGGTGAACAAGTAGCGTAGAGGTCGGGTTGTTACTGCTTGCAACTTCACAGGGCAGAGGTACCAGTTGAGTTTACTTCTGAACCTGTCTGAAACTTAGGGGACTTGATACATAGAGAACATTTAATGAGGCTATGGCTCTTTCACGAAATTTCAAAAGACCACTGTTTTTTAACTCCGCCTGGAGCCCCTCTGGGACTACTGCCGGTCCCAAGCCCGGATAAAGGAGGAGGGTTGGGCATAGGGTTAGCGACCCCATCCCGTAGAAAACGAATTCGCTAAAAAAACGCTAACCAGTAAGTAACTTTTTATGCCATTGCTACCGGTTGCTGGTTAGAAAATTTTAGTCTGTGTAAATCTGTTTTATTGCGGGATGTAGATTCGATAAGCTGAGCACTATTAATTTGGAGTTTACGGTTATTTTGTTGTCTTTTCTCTTGGATTCGGTAGTTTTAAACTAAGAGGTTTGGGAGGGTTTATCAACTTTGCAAACGAATGTCTGTGTCGGTGAATCAGATCCCATTAAATAGAGCCTGATTTGGTTCTGCAATATGAGGATAGCTACCAGTACCCATCGAAAGGGTTTTTAACTAACATCTTGCAGCATCCAAGAGGCTAAAAGGGACTGCAGGCGCAGGAACCCTTCGTAAAGATGACGATTTTTTGATACTTTAACTGAATACGAGACAAAATTCATGATGAACATCGGGCCATTTAACATTTGGTCCTTTTTGAGACCATCTTGCTCCACACTGCTTTTAATAAAAGGTTCAAACCCCGTTTCGCACAAAAAGCTTTAAGGGCTGTAAGTTATGAACAACCCTCATATGTGGCCGGCAATTAGATAAATAAATGTATCAATTGAGTGAGTCACTTCATAAGAACATATAGTGAAAATGTCATGAATGAACATTTAAAGCCAGCTTACCAGGACGATCTGCTACCGTTTCGGGAAAACGGATTTTAATTCTCGAAATCATCCCAATCTCCCAATTTTGTGGAAAATTTGACCCGTCTCAGGGAAGCCGCTACAGAAACTTTTGGGGAGACGACACGCAAACCCCAAATTTTTGAGTTTTTCCCCAAAGTTGGGAGATTGGGATTGTACAGATAGCTTAGTGAAAGGTGGTGATTTGTAGCTCAGGTGGATGATTTTGGTGGAGTTTTGTTCTCTGAGCTGGATGGTTTGGTTGTGTATATCTTACACTTGTTGGTAGAACATGCTGGGAAGACACTTATTGAGAAAATATAGTTGTTCTCAAGTGGAAGCCTGCCTTTTGGCGAAATTCTCCCATTTTCGAACAACGAGAAGCGTATTACGCTCATATGATTTTGAGATGGTGGAGAAGATTTGTAGCTTAGGTGGGTGATTTTGGTGGAGTTTTGTTCTCTGAGCTGGATGGCTCAGAGAACAAAACTCCACCAAAATTAGTGAAAGGTATTTTGATCGAGATTTCACCTTCTATCATCCTGTAAAGAAGTCTAGTTTACATGCTTTTGGTCGTTTTGCATGAATGTCCTTGTTCTTCTATCTCCTTACAAAAAGGTGTGTCTCCTAGTATCCTTTTTTGTTTGTGTATATACACAAAGACTTCATAGAAACGTATATACATCAGGACAAATGATAGTTGTGGTTGACTAACCTGTTGCTCCCAGGTTAATGATGGAGTACGTCGCAACGGCTGCAATGAATGTTATCATAAAATGCTCGCTGATCTAACATTTTTTCCTCTATATAACGCGTACGGTGAGACTATAATTTATGGACGACCTTTTAGCGACGTTGAAGTGGCCTTGAGAATGTTCACCTACCTGTTAGAGCTAAATGAGAGTTATAAACCCGTGTAAAGAGTAAGGATTGTGATTTACAGTTGGTTGTTAGAAACTAGATTTGAAGTTTTCATCACGAACTGACATAAGCTAAAATCCCTAAGCACTTTTTAACTAGATGGATGAATGAATTTTGCGCCAAAATCCAATACCTGTTCAGTCTTCAGTCTTCAGTAATAAGGATAGTAGGTTGATGAACCTGTGTTAATCCTGACACATTGCTTTCCAGTGAAGGTCCAGCTTTTCCTTGAAAGTATTCACTGATGGGGCTGATACCACTTGTTCGGGTATGGCGTTCCAATGATTGACTACTCGATGAGAAAAACGGGATCCCACTTTAAGTTTATTAGATCGTGGTTTATGAACCTTCTTGCTGTGACCTCGGAGATTATTAGTGCTGGAGGGAGCAAAAAGATAAGACATATTAACACCCAAATCATAATTAAAGATACGAAATGCCAGTATAAGGTCACCTCGTGTCCTACGATACGACAAGGGGAAAAGATTTAGGCGTTTTAAGCGCTCATCGTAAGGGAGACTAGAAAGACCCTTCACTAATTTCGTTCCCACACGCTGGACACGCTCAAGGGAGTTAGTATCCTTTACTAGACACGGGCTAGCTGCTTGGATACAGTACTCTAAATGTGGTCTAACATATATGGGGTATAAAATTCGAAACGTTTCCTCGTCAAAAGATTTGAACGCTCGGCGAAGTGACCATAACGCACGAAAACCTTTGACAGCGGCTGCTTTGCAATGCGCAGTTGTTTTTAAGTCATGACTTAATATTACTCCTAAGTCCTTATGCTCTTGAACGCATGGAAGAGGTTTACCCTCAATAGTGTAACGGTAACTATTACCGTGACCGACGTGCATTAGTACACTCTTCCTAGCATTAATTTCTAAGCCCCACTCTCGAGCCCATCTAACTAAATCGTCTAAATCAGCTTGAAGATCCACATGATCAGCCGCACTTTTTATTGTTCTCCAGATTTTTACATCATCTGCAAACAATAATGTCGACGACCTAAGTAACAGTGGTAACTCATTAACGTAGAGAAGGAAGAGCAGAGGGCCTAAGATGGTGCCTTGGGGTACACCACTTTTGACCGGCTTCCAATCGGATAGCGTTCCATTGACCCTAACTCTCTGTCTGCGGTCACATAAGAAATTTCCTATCCACTCATGTACAGTACCTATTATTCCGAAGCTCGTGAGCTTCTGCATAAGACCTACGTGTGAAACCTTGTCAAACGCTTTGCTAAAATCTATGAATATCACGTCGACAGACAGACCGTGATCTAGGGCTGCTGTCCAATCCTCCCTCGCAATAAGCAAGTTAGTCAAGCATGAACGCTTGTTACGAAATCCGTGTTGCTCAGGAGCTAACAGATTGTGTAAATCTATGTGGCTTAGCAACCTAACCCGAATTATCTTTTCGAGTAACTTAACGACTATGCTAGTTAGACTGACAGGCCGGTAGTTAGATACTATCTGTCGCTGACCGTCCTTAAATATAGGACTAACTATAGCGTCCTTCCAATCTCTAGGGAGTTGGGCGAGTGAGAGGGACATGTTGAAGAGTGTCGCAAGCGGTTTCGAAATAATGTCCGCAAGAGATGACAGCAACCGTGGATGTAACCCGTCAGGGCCCGGTATCTTACCAGGTTTGAGGATAGTTATCAACGGAAGGACAGTTTCCTCAGTCACCTGTACGGATTCAATGGTTGGTATCTCGGTGTGAGTGGGACAAGTATTTGTTACAATAAACGTAGAGAAGACTTCGCTAAAATAATCTGAAAAAGTCTCAGCTTTTGCTCGATCTGATTCAGCTAGTAATTCTGAATTTTCGTGTAACAGCAACGGGGGAATACCATCACTACGTTTCATTTGCCGTTTAACATACGAAAACAATCGTTTCGGACAAGTACGGCTATCATATACTAACTGTCGTTCGTAAGTGGTACGGGATTTCGCTATGGTTTTCTTACAGATATTACGGTATTTTTGATACTCACGCTTAAATGGTGCATGACCTGTCAACAAGAATAAGTCCCAGAAATGTTTCCTACGCTTTAACAGCTTCCGGGTTTCCTTATTAATCCATGGAGGGCAATGTGATAGCTTACGTGCTGACCATGGGATAAACTGCGACGTTACGGACTCGAATGTAGCCTTAAACTTATTCCATTCATCTTCGATCAATCCATCCGCGTCGACCGACCAATCGGTCGAGATAGCACGGTTTCTGATTTCCGGAATATTAGCTCGCCAGATATTGGGACGGGGTGGAGCAGATACGAATTGTATACCATGTGTCCTAAACTTAAAGTGAATTACAAAGTGATCACTGTTCACTAGTGGAGGAAGGTGCTGGATATCAAAGACATCCTCACAGTGGTGGGTGAGGGCGAGGTCCAGCAGTGACGGAACATGATGCAAATCAATATGTGTCGGTTTTGTGATACATTGTACAAGTGCACACTGAATAACGGTAGATAAAAGGTCGCTATCGAAACCGCTACCTGGAGCTGTAAGCTCTATCCAGTTGATATGCGGTGCGTTGAAGTCCCCAATGATGAGACAACATTCTGCCATACTCCAAGAACAGATGTGTCTTAGGATAAAGTCGTCAGCCAGACAAGACGGACTACGGTATATTCCCCCTATAGTCACTAACCCATTTCTAGATTTAATCTTACAACATGCAACCTCACATGTGCCACTGATATGGGCCTCCGATATGGTTGATTGTATACGAAAGTGATCCCTAACGTAAAATATTATACCTCCCTCTTTGCGACTTGAAACTCTATCACTTCTGATACAGATATAACCAGCGATGAAAGGAGAACAGTCTATATCAACGGTGAACCAAGTTTCTGTAACAACGATTATATCGGGACATAATTCTTGCACCATCAGACTTAGCTCGGACGTTTTATTTCTAAGACTACGAGCGTTCGTGTAGCACACACTTAAGGTGTTTTGGAAATCAATCGTTCTACCCATACAGGCCTCGGAAGCATTGGCTTCCAAGACCTGACTACCCGAAAACCCTTAATGGTAAGGTTATTTTCGCCATTTAATTTGCGAGTCCTGAACTTCGTAAGAGCATTCTTCCACTTGATTCGATCCTCAAGCGGCCAATCTGGTCGAATACGGATATCTGAGGCACGAGTTTTTTGTGCGCTTTTCAATAATATGTCTCTTTCTTCGAAACTCCCGAGAACCAGCTTCAGGATCCTTCTTGGTTGGGTCTCGCCTCCAACCCATTTACCAAGTCGTATTACTTTTGTAATATGTACCCCTGAAACCTCTTCTGGTAGTACATTCCTGACCACAGACTCCACTAACTGTAGGTCATGTGCGTGTCTTTTAGCAGGGTCGTTGTCTTCCCAAACCTGATTCGTTCGTCCATAAATTAGAGTCTCGCCATTAAATTCACAGCTATTTAGAATGCTAGGTATCTTTCCAACGAGTCCGCTACTTATTCGGTATCACAGTGCACTTATCTGGCTTCGAGTATTATATAAATATCTTTGGTATACGTGTTTCTCCTAAGTCGAGTAACGTTGTCAAACACTGAATACCTGTACCATCTTCAAACGAAAACAAGTGACTTCGTTACAAGTGGCAAGGTCATGGAGCACAATTTCTCGAGACGCCCCTCATCTCTGAAGAATGAAAAGGAAGGTCTAGGTCGGCCTCCTTGACGTTTTCTCGACCTTCGAATGGTTCAAATGGTTGTGGATGGAATAGAAGAAGCCTTCGCTTAACGGGCTTCCGTGTCTAGTAGCAGTGGATCACCAATACATTCAGGCAGGAACCTAGGTATATTAACGATAAAAAGAGGAGAATGAAATCGGTAAATCATAGCAATATACCATCCTTAGTCTTTAAAAAGATGTTAAGTTTCCTCTTAGAGGACTACTGGAAAGTCGCTTGAACTAGCTCAGCTGGCAGCGAATTCCAGCATTTCACAACTCTTAAGGAGTAGAAGTTGTGTCTACAGTCCGTTTTGCTGAGTTGTGTCTCCAGTTTCTGGGTATAACCCATTGGGTTTGTGTTGGAGCTTAACTTAAGTAAGTGTTTAAGGGGATGTTGTAGGGCTAGTGAAATTTGCAGTTGCTTAGTTTCATGGACAAACAGAGGATATGAATGCTAGAAATTTGCGGTGTATTTGGATCATAAATTTCCTTCAATCTTAGATCTCGTTTAGACTGTTCGTCAGACAACGCTACGTATTTGATTTTAATTAATTTTGGACTTACACAAATTCAGTCTACAACGCTGTGTTAATCCAAGAACTAATTCACCAGTACCTCGTATATAATCCGGCTCCACATTTTCATCACTTGTAAGCAAGAGTAATTCAAGCGAGTTTCATAGTTGCTTTAGATTATTTCGTACTATGTTTGTGATGCCTGATAACATTTCGTAGTTTCTTCAAGTAAAAAAGTTATATATTCTGGTCGAAATCATGTACATTTATGACTCGTAATTCGACATACTGTGGTAAAGCATACTGCATGTACACGAGCAATCTTACTCCATGTCCTAACTAGACACTTTGTCGTACGTAATATGTCGCTTAATGCTAGGTAATAAGCTCTTTGCATCAGCCTTTTACGAAATGGCCACTTTACCTGAACCCTTTAAACTTTGGTTACAATGGTGATTACCATTTTACTTAATGTTTACTATACTCTTTTTATTTACTTTTATTTCGCACGGTAAATTATGACTCGACTTCTTCACTATACGACAGTCATTTTGATTCCGTTTTCGGTTTATTTACATGCAAGGCGGATTTGGAAACTATCTAAAGGACCTCTGAAATTCTCCACGAACCCCACCATAGTCCTCGTATATGTTTTTATTACTCTTGCGGCAAACCTCTCGTTTGAGGAACTCAATCACTTGTCAGAGGTATCTATTTCAACGCAACTTGATAGAACTTTACAACGCTAGGTTTTTTCTATTATCTTTATGGTTAATCGCTCAACATTCAACCAACGTCCTACTAACATATTATTACTCGCTGTTTTCCCGATCACTTTCTACCGCCTTTTTCCATTTGTCTTACAGATCGGCAATACTCGAAGGATTCATATTAATCGTTTGGCTATCTCCGGCGCGCGAC